CTCCACCTCCCTCCTCCTCCTGCCATTTCCCCTTCCTCCTCCTCCGCCTCCTCCTCCTCCTCCTCCTCCTCCTCCTGCTCCTCCTCCTCCTCCTCCTCCTCCTCCTCCTCCTGCTCCTCCTCTTCTCCTCCTCCACCTCCTCCTCCTCCTCCTCCTCCTCCTCCTGTCCATTTTCCCTGTCCTCCTCCTCCGCTTCCTCATCCGCTTCCTCCTCCTCCTCCTCCTCCTCCTCCTCCTCCCTCCTCCTCCGGCCAGCGCCCACCGCCAGCAGGCCCGAAGGAGCAGGGACGGCGTCCTCGGGGAAAGTCGTGGAAAGTCCTCCTCCTCTCCCTCTTCCTTCCTCATCCTGCATTTCGGGTTGGGGGGGGGGGTACGGGTTCCACACGTTTGGAGGCCTGGAAATTGGCACCAACACCAACACAGGGGGCTGCCTCCACAGGGGGAAGACGATCCTAGATTTCGGTGCTGGTGGTACTATTTCGGTCACCTTGGCAGCCATAATATTACCACCATCACCGAGATCGGGATCTTCTTCAATCGGTGGAGGCACACCGCCGATCTTGGTGTTGGTGTCAACCTCTAGACCTGCGACACGTGTTTTTGTTCCATGTTCCCCGACCCCCCTCCCCCCACTGGAAATGGAGGGCACATCGGGGCCTTCGGGTTGGGTTGGGGTGGTCTGGTGGGCGGCGGCCCGCCACGTCGTGGCCAACGGCGTCGTCCGTGCCCCGCCCTCCGCCCTCCGCGCTCTGTTTTTCTAGTCGGGCATGTTCTCCCACAGACGGAGTTTGGAGGAACAAATGAAAAAATAGTCGACAAAGAAAATGCTCAAAATGATAAAAAGATCGAAAACATCGTCCCCAGGCTATGTCTCAATAATTTTTGAACTTTCATCCTGTAGAAGACCATGCCCGACTTAATGCTCCGTGCGCCGTTCTCCGTCCGCGTGCGCCTCCTCCGTACGGGAGGTTCGTGTGGCGTCGGCGCGCCCAAAACACGTTTTTTGACATCGCTTCGACCGTTCAACCCTGAACCGACCGTGGCCCCGATCGTTCGAACCTGAATTCCGTCGGGTCGTGTGGCGCTACCGTGTCCCTCGGTGTTGCCGCGTCGTTCCGTCATGCGAAGCTCAACGTTGAACGCCTTCGCTGGCGTCGCTGGCGCGCCATCGCCGCAGGAACCGACCGTAGCCGTCCGATGGCACGGACCTTCCGCACGCTGCCCCAGTCTCCAATACTTCGCCGATGACCGCTTCATTCCCTCTCCAGATGGGCTCGCGTACCAGTTAAGCCAATAGCGAGCGTAGTGGTGCTCCGCAGTCCTCCTCCTCCTCCTCACGCACCTAGCTTGCTACTCCTCTCCTCCTCTCCTCCTCCTCCTCACGACGTGGTAAGTGTTGGGTTCCACATTTACTAGCGCAATGGGAAGGTATGGGTGGGATGGGTAGGATGTCTGATATGGCGCTCGCGCACCTGGCTTGTCCTCTTCCACAATGAGACACTTGAGCAATGTGGATACTGCTCTCCCTCCTCCCCTCAAGTTGTCCAGAAGACCTCCCGCCCCCTCCGCGCGCTGGTTGTTGAGCGCCGTAGTTCGAAGGTTGATGTGTCTCACGGTTCTTTACCGTTCACTTGTGTTATGTGTTTCAATTTGGTGCTCCCGCTGCAGCGCGGGTGTCGTGTTTCACTGTGGTCCCCCTCTCATTTCCCCGCATCCGCCTTCCCCTGGTCCTTCTGTGCCTTCCGCTCCTCCTTCCGCGTCAGTCCGTGCTGCTGCTGTTCGTCTCGCCCCAGCGCGGGCAGGCGTTTCGAATCCGAATCTGGCTTCGTCGTTGTTGCCCCTTCGCACGTCCCCTCATCGGCCTTCCCCTGGTCCTCATGTCCCTCCCGATCCATCCGCTCGAATTCCTGCTGCTGCTGTTCGTCCTCGTTGCGTTCCTCCCGCTCATCCTCCTCCTCACCCGCCACCTGCTCCACGTGTGCACGCAGCTCCCCCTTCTTTCCAGATTGCGCACAACACGAAGTATTTTTGGGGGTGAGTCACTCAGGTCGGCTATGGCACGCGTCCGCGGATAGAAACCAATCCGCGCCACGGGAGGTGATGGGAGGGAGAGGTAGGATGTCAGATGAGGCGGGCGCGCACCTAGCTTGGCCTCTCCTCTCCCCTCCCTCCTCCTCCCACTCTCTCCCTCCTCCTCCTCCTCATCCTCCTCCTCCTCCTCCTCCTGCTCCTCCTCCTCCTCCTGCTCCTTCTCCGCCTCCTGTTCCTCGTCCCTCCCCTCTTCGACAATTCCCCAATAACAATACTACTCTACTCGCTTTCCCGACTACGTCCTGGAAAGGCTGCGCCCTCTCCGTGAGCTGTTTTTGCACGTACAAACCTTCACAACAATTGACCACACTGTATGTTGTTCCACTTGGACAGTTTGTGGTTCTTCAGAATGGTGTCCCGCTGCAGCGTTGGCATTCTTTCAGGCGCGGCGCGCTGCCCTCATCGTTCAGAATTGCGCCCTCGCCCCAACGCGGCACTGACTTCTGCATCGGAGCAACTCCTCGTCGTCGCCCCCCTTTCCCCATCCTAGCCCTTCACTTGTGGTCATCCTCCAGCGCATTCCGTTCCACCGACTTCTGCACCTGGTGCTGCGGTTGTTCCTCGTCGTCCTCCTCTTTCTCCAGCTTCTCCATTCAGGGCCACATCCCCAACCCGCGAACCAGTGAACATCGGGCCCAGTTTGTAAAGGGAGCGACAGCGGGCCTGGGCGGAGTCGGGGCTGCTACTCCTCCTCCTGCTCTGGCGAGGCTTGTCGGGGCATGTTATGTTCCATCTATTCCATCTCCTCCTCCTCATCATCATCATCATCATCATCATCATCATCATCATCATCCTCATCCTCATCCTCATCCTCATCCTCAGCATCATCAGCATTACCATCATCATCGTCGTCATCATCATCATCATCATCGTCATCATCATCATCATCAGCAGCAGCATCATCAGCATCAGCAGCAGCATCAGCATCATCATCATCATCATCATCATCATCATCATCATCATCATCATCATCATCATCATCATCATCATCATCATCATCATCATCTGCATCATCATCAGCAGCATCAGCATCAGCATCATCATCACCATCATCAGCATCATCACCATCATCACCATCATCATCATCAGCATCATCATCATCATCATCCGCCTCCTCCTCCTCATCATCATCAGCATCAGCATCATCATCATCATCATCATCATCATCATCATCATCCGCCTCCTCCTCATCATCATCATCAGCATCATCATCATCATCATCAGCATCAGCATCAGCATCAGCATCATCATCATCATCATCATCATCATCATCATCATCATCATCATCATCATCATCATCATCGTCATCATCATAATCCTCCGCCTTCTCTTCCTCCTCCTCCTCCGCCTCCTCCTCATCTAATGTGCTCACCTCCCCTTTCAGCTTGCGCATGACGCGATGGGAACAATGCTTGAGCCCAAGATCCGCTATGACGCCCGTCGGCAGATAGAGAAAGTGGCCGCGCAAGGAGTTCGACAAGAGGGGTAGGGTGTCAGACATGGCGCGAGCGCACCTGGATTGTCCTCCTCATCCTCCTCATCATCATCCTCCTCCCTGCTCTCTCCTCCCTCCTGCCTTCTCCTCCTCATCCTCTTCATGTCTCTCCACTTCCTGGCGAACGTGTTCTTCTTCGGCGTTTCGACAATTGGCGGAAGGGGGGAAGGGGGGGGGGTCTGGCTCTGGACCTCTGCGTAATGCGACTGCTTGGAACAGTGCGTCCTGTGGGGGAGGCTCCGCCCGCTCGAAACAGACGCCAAAAACAGCCGGGATCTACTCCACGGGGGGGGTGAAGCGGGGGCTGCGAGGGCCCGCGCCGATCGGCAAAACGATGAATAAGGAAAAACGACGACCTGGTCCTCGTCCTCTCCTCCTGCCCCGCCCCGCCCGCCCGGGGACCGAGGAGGGGGCGGTGGCTACCCACATCCGCCGCCCGCCACCCCGGCGGCGGTGGACCGAGCAGATGGGGTCCTGCCGGGCCGCGCCGCACCGGCGGGGCGTCGCCGCGCCGCCTGCCTCGGCGACACGTCGGAGACGCGGCGGCGCCCGTCGGCGCGGAGGAAGCCGAGCTCCAGACCGAGCCGCGTCGCAGAGGAATCGGCGATGCGGCTCGGTCCTGCGACCCCATCGCCTCGGGCCCCTTTTGGGAGGCAGGGGTCCTCCCTCTCCTCCCCTGCCATGCCTCTCCTCCCTACAGCCGAGCTAGATCGGAGAGGGACCGCGAGACGACACAGAACGGAGGGAGGTGGGAAGGCAGATGGACGGGGGGAACGAGGGGCAACCATGGGGGGGGGTGACTGGCTCAAGGGGCCAACATCGATCTGGAATCGGCGATACATCGCGGACAGATCGGCAATAGGCAATAGGTCCCCGATAGCAAGTCCGCATGTTCCTGGGCGGGGCGGGCTATCGGGTCCCTATCAGCGATGAGTGGGCGAGTGGGGTTCGATGCATCCCCCCCTGAGCCTATCCCCCCCAAATGTTACCCCTGAAGGGGAAGGAGAAGAGCTGGCAGCACGGAGGAGGCTGGGAGGGCAGATGGGTGAGAAAGGACACAGGAACAAGGAACAGCGGCACCACCACCACCACCACCACCACCACCACCACCAAGACACCCCCCACCCCCGGCTCGGAGAGACATCGCGGACCTCCTCGCTGGAAGTGGCACCCCTGGTGGTGGTGGTGGTGGTGGTGCCGTGTTCCTTCCCTACCAGCAGGTGGGGGATCGAGGAGAAGAGCTGGCGGCTCCCACGAAAAACACCCCTGGGGCAATCAAAAGGTACCGATACCGCTACTCCCCGGACCTCTCCCCGGGTGCGTTCTGACCAGGACTTCGAGGCGACTCCGGCGGTGGCGACGAGGGCCTCCTGGGAGGCCCAGGAAGGCGACAACGAACGAGGGGGTAGATTTATGGGTACCTTCTCCTCCTCTGAAAAGGGCTGGCGGCTCCCGCGAAGGTGACTACCTACCAGACCACCCCAACCCAACCCGACGACCCGAATTTCACCGGAATTTCGGGTTCGGGGCGGTACGGGTTCCACCACGTGTTTTTCAATGTTCCCCGACCCCCCCCACACTGGAAATGGAGGGCCAATTGAGGCCTTCGGGTTGGGTTGGGGTGGCTTGGTGGGCGGTGAGAAGGACACCCCCCTCACGCTGCTGGCGCGGGCACGGAAGCGCGCGACGGGCGCTCGGCTCCAGCGCGGCCCTGCGCCGGCCCGCCGGCACTCGGCTCCAGTGGGCCGCCGTCGGGCGACGAGCCCCAGACTCACAACCACCGCCCCTCTGGCCAGGCCCAGCCTGGAGCCCAGGAGCGGTGCAGTCTGCAGGGCTGGTTGCTTTCCTTGTGTGCTTCGTTTTTGCCCTGCCTGTTTTCTTGCACCTCCCTGCCAACCAGCGAAAAACGAAGCACGGCCGAAGTCCAGCAAAACAGCGTTTGGGCCCAGCCCTGGCATACGGCGTCACCCGACTTCGCGCGTCGCGGCCCGCGGTGCGCGACGCGCGCTTACCCCTTCGCGCCCTCGCGCCCTCCCGCCGCCCCCCCGGGGAGAAGGGCAGCCGCCCGGGCGCCCGGACCGCGCGGCGCGCGCAGAGCGCGACTGTCTCCCCGCGCCCTGCGGCGGGGGGCCCCTGGAGGTACGCTGCCCCCCGCGGCTTGGCTTTATGGGGGGGCGCGCACGCCGACCCTGGGCCCGGGCGGGGCCCGGCCAGTGGCCGTGGACGCGCAGAAGGCCTCGCCGCCCGGCGCCGAGCCCTCGGCCCGCAGAGGTGCACGCCCCGCGGGCCCAGCGGCGCTGCTGCGGGCGGGGCACCGCTGCGGGGAGCGGCGCGCTGGCACACGGCAGGTCCCCGACGTGGGCGCGGGACCTGAGGCTGGCCGAGGTCGGGAGGCTGGCTCCCTCAGACAAGCACGCTCCACTCCTCGCAAGGTAACTACTGGCAAATGGCCTGGATATGCCGCGGGGGATTCAGGATCCAATCTATATATATATATATATATATATATATATGTATATGTACTAGAATCACGCGCGCGCTTCGCGCGCGCTTAGGTTCTAGCTAGGATCGTCACCGTCGTCATCATGAACATCACCATCGCCATCATTCCCTCCGCCAGGGCTAATGTACATCGTTTCTGGATGCTTCTGGCCGGAATACGAAAGGAGTTTCTGTAGATAGAGTCTCTGGGTGAAGTCGCGGGGCCCCTCAGGATACGTACGGATGCCTCTGATAATCCCCCAGCGTGCCCCACGAGATGGCCAGAGGGTGCCCGAACAGAACCCGAGGACGTCGACGACGGCGGCGATGAAGACGGCGGCGATCGCGGCGACGAAGGTAGCGGCGGTTGCCATGGGTTAGTACCCAATCAGAGCTTGCCTCTGTAAGGGTCCTGGCGGATTAAAAGGTTCGATGAGGTTCGGCAAGATTCCGGCCCCATGCGGCCGGGCCGGGTGCCCGGGTGCCCGGGTGCCCGGGTGCCCGGTGCCTGGGTGCCTGGGTGCCCGGTGCCCGGGTGCCGGGGTGCCTGGGGGTGCCCTATCGCCCTATAGCCCTGTAGCCCTATTGCCCTATAGCCGTATAGCCCTATAGGACTATAGCCCAATAGCCCTATATCCCTATATCCATCTAGCCCTTTAGCTCTATAGCCCTCTGATCCTATAGCCCTGTAGCCCTATAGCCCCATAGCTCTACAGCCCAACAACCCTATAGCCCAATAGCCGAATAGCCCACATAGCCCTATAGCCCTATGGCCCTAGCCCTATAGCCCTATAGCCCTACAGCCCTATAGCCCTGCAGCCCAATAGCCCTGTAGCCCAAGTCGTTTTCATCCTGAGTCGTTTTCTGACGGTCCCGGGAACCTGCGAGGGGCCCCGGAGGCCGAAAATTAACAAAAACCGCCGTCGTGATTTTTCCAAGACGTCGGAGGTCCAGGTCGTGCTTCCCGCCTCCCCAGACCTCCGACGTCGTAATTTTTGCGACCTCGGGCCCAGGAATCGATTGGGAAAACGCACATGGGAAGGCAAGAAATGATGGACCCATCATTTCGTACCTGTGCCTTGATCAGTGGGACGGGCTTCGCACCGCCGCACATCACAAGACACGCTCGAGCGGATCCAGCCGTGGCGACGTCGGGGACTGCAGAAGGTCGCAAGGACACAGAATGTGAAAGGAAGAGAGAGAAAGAGAGAAAGAGAGGGAGAGAGAGACAGACAGACAGAGAGCGAAGGAGAGAGAGAGAGAGAAAGAGAGATGGAGAGAGAGAGAGAGAGAGAAACAAAAAAAAACAGAGAGAGAGAGGCAGAGAGAGGAAATGGAGAGGAGGCGAGCTTGAGTCAACGAAAGTCGCAGGGAAGGGGGCAGGGGGAAGAAGGCCAGAGAGCGCTGAAGGATACAAATACTGGAACCCTCTT